TGAACACAATCTGTATCATCTTCAGAATGCTGCAATTTATCATTTCAAATTTGGTTGGATTGTACATTAGCGAATAGCCCCATAGCGACATTTAATTTCTTGTATCACGGAATACAATGATTTGACTGACTTGAACGCCAGTCAATACAGCCAACCAGAGTCCTCGACAGACAGGCTGTAAAACTTATGGTTTATGTTTACAGCCTTTATGACAAATTCTCTGATTGGCTGCATTCGCTTATGTACAATCAAACCAAATCGCTGCATCTACAAATCTCCGCGATACAAGAAAAATGACAATCAATCGAGGTTTAAGACAGATTTCGTATAACCTGACATTATGAAGATAATCTGTATTTCCATAAATTCCTTAATCATAAATTGCAGTATTCTGCTGCAGCCATATTCGTATGATTATTCAGTAACATGGAAATTATTTTACAGCTGTAGCAAATCGACAAAATCAAGCTTTCTGTGCATCAATAGCAATTCACTTGTGACCACATCCCAATAAATCATAGCTATATAACAATGAGATGGCCACTTATGATAATAACTGTCAAGTTTGTCATGTGGTCAATTTAAAACTTCCTTTATGATCGGTCAATACCGACTCAATCTCTTTATTAAATGTAATTAATAATTTCGTTTGCTGATGTCTAATTGAGACTATTCTGATAGTCAATGGTGGTTACTTTCAATGATGCCCATGAGGGTACATAAATGAGTTATCCATCAGAATATATTAGTTTTCGGCTACATTTTTCCTCGATATATTTTAGTCAAGCTGAAATTTTCTGCATTTGAGGCTTTTTCAATCATAGCATCAAGTCTTTAGAATCATAGTGTTGAATTTTCTAAACGGAATAAGTGTTGGCATAGACCCATTTTTAAAATATCTTTTTATCGTTTTATCGTGTACGACATGCCTTTCTTGCGAATCTCGTTGTGAAAGAGATTGAAAGCCAACATTGGGCCGACTTTCGGAAGCACTTCGCTAAGGATAGTCATGCAGCGGTATTTAATTCTACGTGTTTTCAGCAAATGCTGTCAATTTCAAAATAAATGTGATATGGTTTACAAACTCAAATTTTTCGTTCCTAAATTATTACCGAACAATTGAAATAACTGTTTCAAAACTATAAAACAGACTGAATTCAATAAAGACTAAAGAGCATCACTTGTCACTGTGATTCTATTGTTCTCGGAAATAATCCCTCTTCTTGACTGACCCTCAAAATCCCTTCTATTGTCTTTTTTCTTCTGACTCACCCGGCACGCGTTAAACAACATGTGTACTGACAATAACCTGACTGCTTTACTGTATGATTTTGTTATTTTAGATCCAGTAATCTCTGAATTGTGTTAAATAAATGAAGCATTTGTTGATGGTCTGTAATCAATCGTGCTTTATTAACGTTATCATACATAACCAATGCATGAAGTAAATTTTTAACACATTATGGAACAATTTTGTAATCGTTAATCAATTCTGCATTCTGACTTGGATTACGTTTGTTGGTTAATTTTCAATAAACGAAAATAAATGTCGTATTGGTTTAATTCATGTGAAAATTTATTTGCAAGTAATGTATTTTCATCAGTACACCGAATTTACTCGTTGATGTACGATGTTTAAGCATCCCATTATAAAACCTTCGTTACGATATATCTAAACTTGCACTTTCAAACTGAAAAGATTATGATTTTATTACTAATACATTTTTCTAGATAAATATTAACCAAAGAAGACATAAACTTAAGTTCAAGAATCTATCATAACATATTCCATATATTTAACTAGTCAAGAAGCAATTTTCGAAGTCTAAGAATTCATCCGAACTGATAATGCATATTAGTCACTCCAAATTCATACTTCTTTTGTCAAATACCTTCATATTGCTATCGTATTCTGAAAATGATGCCTTCGCGGACTAACCGAGATGTATACAAGTAGATTTAGCAGGCTATCACGATGTCCACTTTTCTTAAGAGCATACATTAATCACATTTGGCATTACGAAAATCGATCAGCGACATTAATTTCAGCTGTCTCAGACAAAGACGATTAACCAAGACCATCTAGACAGCGTGAAAGACTTAAAGCTTTATTGGAAATGAAATAGAAATAACGTCTGCATTCATCTATAATTACCGATCGTTGATTAGAAGCATTATTGAATAATATCGAACACAGCAATCATCATCTTTAGTTACCTGCTTATTTCACAATGTGTTCAATGAAGATGATTTAAGTATATTTGTGTCGCCCGAGTTAACTCATACAGAAATATACGAGTAAAAATTCTCAAGCTGAGTAAAAAACAACACTGAAAATATTTTCTGGTCTAAAAATTTACTTTATTTATTTTCAATTACTGGAACCACAGACGTCTCGAGGGTTAGAGCAAATATTATACAATATCATGTAACACACATTTAAAAGCCCTATAATTTATAAAGTATACTTTTCATTAAAAAGTGTATATCATATCTGAAAATCGCCCCTGCAGTAGGTTTGAATTGACGATAATATTGTGATGTGTATTATATGTAAATCTACACCAATGACCTTTCCATTTTAAAAATTCTGCTAGGATTAATTATGAACTATTAAGAAGGTTCCTATGATGTCTGATATTTAACACATGTTCAATGACTCACCAAAACATTCATTTCTGGGTAAAATATAATTGAAGAAAACCTGGACTATATTCCAACCATCTTGTGAAGGAATGTCAAGAGCAATTATATTTTGCTGAAACAGAAGTTATCCTTTTGACAACAAGATTTGTTTCAAAACGACCTACATATTTAAGATGTACATATATTGCTCGAAAAAAGAATAGCAAATGCCAGAAATATTTTTTTCAGGATAAAATTCATTTCCCTTGCACTTGGTATTTACCATAACTACCCTTCCCAAAATATCGTCCCTTTTATTTTTTGAATAACCCACTAGGCTACTTACCTACTTACCCAAAAATATGAATTTAAGACTAAATGATTTGTCTTTAAACAAGACGAATTATCTCTTTTGTTTTATCACAGGACTAGAGGGTAAAGTGAGGTAATAGCAGCCTATGCCTTTTCTCATCTTCTGTTCAGACATTATATGTTCATGCTTTATGAGTAACTTTAAGAGTTATAATTGTTGTATATAGAGACGTTAAATGCTTGAGTAAGCTTTTCTTAATTAAACAAAACTGCTTCAGAATGCAGCTCCCACGTTCCAGTGTCTGATTTCGATGTAATAGACTATTTTGATCTAAAAAACAATTGTGTCAACTACAAAAAATATTTGTTAATAAAAGTTAGTTGAAATTGGATAGGTGGATTAAGTTAATCTGTTTATATATCTCTTCATAGATTCTTAAGTATAGAAGCTGAACCACTCAATATCATGTTTTATATCATGTTACCTTTCCTGTAGTCTCATGGATACACAAATATACACATGTCTACAGTCTCTATCACAGACAATAAACTATCATTCCTTAAGGGATATCATTCTGTTTTCTTGACCTTCTACACAAAATGTGGCTTCAGTCTCTACAATGCTGAAACGATGAAACATGAACAGCACTCGTACAGCCTTTATTATGCGTTCCGTTTTATATTCACGAAGAAAAAAATCATTCAAGGATAACATATTCTCAAACATCCTGTCAGCTAGTCAGATTTTGTCAGACTTTTTGTCAACAAAGTCTCCTGTATTATCTGTGAACCTTTGCTGAATCAATGGAACATCCAAATAGCAGTGGTAATGACTGTGATCTTAATATGTTTTATCCAAAAACTTCATTTCTATCATGTAGAATTGCTTTTAATGGTCTCTATCACGTTCACCAGGAAATTTTGACACATTTTGTCATGGACAATAACTCATCCGAGATCTAACATAGTTCACAAAAATACTTTTGAAATGCTGACAAGGTATGGGAAGTAGAATTATCCGCCTGATAATACCTCTAAGATTCCAATAACCATATATTATTGAGATCTTATCTTGATAGGAAGAATTATCTTCCATGAATAATTTATATATTATTTAATTCCCATGGAAACATTAATCTTTCTTTCATAGCAAGTGTATATCAACTGTCAGAGAGACTAGTCTTATAAACTTTACTAGAAAAACAGGTTTTATAGGATGGAATTAAATCCATGTCACTTATAGAATCTGAATTACGGAATCTTAGCATCAAGAAAACAAATTAGATTAGGTTGATGTAATGGTAGGCGGGAGAGCAAACTAACTTACTTAGAACCTAAGGCTTACTACGTGATAGTGAAATTCTTAACAATAAAAAAGAGAGCAACTTTAAAAGCAATTAGCCAATGCTGATTTGGAAGTGGATTAGATTCTGAATATAGCCAATGATTCACTACGATACTGACCAATGCATAATTTCTCTATTAACTGACATACTATCTAAATTTTAAACACAAAATAATGTTTCTATTTTAAAATAATGATCCACCGTGACCGAAATGAGATTGTTATAACAGTGAATAGATTTATTTTGCAATTTTTGCATTTAATTAGTTAATAACGAATAACTAAATTCTACGATGTTCTACATTACACTGTGAGAAATGACTTTCGACTTCATATGGGGCAAAGTCGATATCCTTGTCTTATACGATTGTTTCTTCGAGAAATAGTTTCGATTTATTTATAGTCATTGACATGCGAAGAAACAGTTAAGTATCGTATTTACGAGGATTCGGTATAACTTTAGATTTTCAATATTCAAACCTTTGAAGAATTATGGTAACCTCGAAATAGTATAGCATCATTAAATACGGATGATGTTTCGAGTTTTCCAAATATTCATTATGATTTATCTTCTTGTTAATAATTCAATGGTAAATGCGAAATCAAGATGTAAAGGGAGACAATGATCATTTGGAAAATAATCAGACTAAGTAATATGTATTCTGTCAGTAAAGCTCTTCGTAAGTTGAGATATTAAGCCATAGTTTGTCGAATAGGCCTACTCTTTTCTTTCTACGAGATGATTTTTTAAAACTAAAACAGCAAGAGAAGATAAACAATTACCATTATCTTTATCTATGCAATAAAATAGCTGCAAAATATCAAACAATTTCAAAAGCAAATACATAATCTACAAGGACGATATAAGTTCGTGGTTGTTAATCTTGGTAAAACAAACATTTGCAACACACTCACTCTAGCATCTTAAATAATATGTTCGTAATTATTTACAGAAACAAGGACTGCCGTCTTTAAATAAGAGTTGTCTCCCCTACACAGGCCTGATGTAAACTTCATACACGTAAATCTACATGTAGAATGTGAGGTTGCGCCATAGTACCACTAATATCATTTACTAAAGTCTTCTGTAAATAGATCGATACACTGACTACAAGCCTGTATCTGTATCTATTTTCTTTTATTTTTCATCTTTTAACAATAAACTTAAAGGGTTTGTAAAGAATTTTAGTAGAATTGCAGGAACCACAGACGTCTGATTAAATTTGAATGGTGCAAATTGATGCTATCAGTGTCACCGATACACATACAAATTTTAGAAAACCTTCTTACAATCCCTTTAAACACAACTTGTCTACAATCGCAAGTACTTTCTCTACAGTCTATTCAGTAAAATTGACCTTATCAAGCATATTCTGATAAAGAGGATTGGTAGTATGAGACGTGATAGAAATTTTTGGACGGGTTGAGGAGTCCACGGGGCTACAGAGATTTGTACGACTAGTGGAAGCTTCATCAATAAAATCAATCTGACTAGAAGTAGGTGAGGCGGTCAAATCTGTCTCTACCATTAGAGTCTTCTTTAGTGGCGTTATTTCATAAGCTGGTGGTGGTTCTCGGGCGTCACTGAAAAGAAAAGAAAGAATCTCATTCTGTGAGTTAAAATCTGCATTGTATGGTGGCTCACATACGACATATTTCACTTTTTAGTTTGAATTAAAAACTTTTTATTTTCACCTTGAATTAATAACTTTAATGTTCACCTGGGTTATAACTATTTTCACCAAGGTGGAAATTAAGTGATAATTCCTGTAATTATGAATTTAAAATGTTCACCTTATTGAACAAATTTCACACATCAAGGGACATTACTCGAATTAAAATACTTATTTCCAAAGTAAGCTGCTGATGCAAATAAATCTTCCACATTACTTTATTGTTCACTTATTGAAGACCATATCATCCAAATCGTAAATTGTATATTGAACAAACAAATATATTCGTACCTGACAGAATAGATGTTTTGGGAAGCTCGTGGACCTGTTGGTATAGTTGACAGTCGATTTGGTATCACTTCTCCACCACTGCGCTTCGACTTGTACCAGACCATGGTTATTGATACAATAGCCAATATTACAACACCAAAAGCACTGATGCCAATAATAAACATGTTGATATTATGGGGAGAGAACAAAAGCCGGGATGGTCGGTTGCGTTTTCCTGAAAAGCAATACTCAGTACTTGATGACAGTATTCGTTATTAGGTAACCCTTTTGATCACATAATCTTCCAGTATAAGATAACTACATTTCGATATTCTGGAAATGCCTTCTCGAGAAGGCAGTAAAGCTCCATCATGCTATACTCTGTATCAATTTACAAGATTATGTCCATAAAATATACTTTTACGAGCTTTAAATTTACTTCGACAAAATGCCTTAATAATGGAGCATTAAGTACAACCTATAACTGCTCTACAAATGAGTCGTGAATCGTGTCCTTTCGCTCAGGTCATCGATATTCAGGTTTTGAACAAAGCTATACTTACCTAGTATTTTTGGAGGGAACACTTTGACGAAGAATATACAGTTGGCCACGTTCCCCTCATAATCTTCTGTTTTATAAACTATTGCATGGTCCCCATACTTAAATTTCTCTCCTGGTAAAGATAATAAAATTAACAAAATAAAGATTTCAACAATGCATATTAACAGTAAGGGATGTCGAGTGGACAAAGGACAGTCACAGAATGGTATCAGGTGTTCTAGCAAGTTTACATATTACATAGTTTACAGTAAATGAAAGGTTGCTTTATTTTTTTTTTAAAAAAGAGATGTGTCAAAATGATCAATTTGAAGAATAAGCCACATGATCATTGTTTGAAGTACCACATTATTGTAGGGTACATCTGCCCAGGCCGATATACTTTGCAAAAGAAAATCATTTCAAAAATAATTGTGTCTCACCTGGCTTACTTCTGGATACAGGTTTCACCGCAAGACCAACATTATCACGAGCTATAGGAGTGTTCCATTCTACAATTTGTTTTGTTGTTTTAATGGTTGACGGGCAGTAATCAAATGCAGGTGGTTGTCGATCTGCAATACGAGATTTAAAATTTCGAAAGGAGAATTTTTATACCAAAAACAAAAGTTTTCAAAAATCAGACATATGAAAATGAAAATATTCCTTTCTTCCACAAAGGACGATAGAGTCAATTCTCAATAGGAATGTGACAAATAATTTGCGGATAAATTGCTGCATATAATATTCAATAATGATGCATTTTTACCTTTGACTCGAATCTGAAAAATGCACACTGCAAATTGACCAAATCTGTCTGTTGATGACGTTGCAGTGACCGTGTGGAAATTAGTAGGACCTTTACCAGCTTCAAAAATTGTTCTTGTATAGAAAACATCAAGTCTGTTTGTCATATAATCTAATGCTTCAAGTTTAATGGGTAAGTGAACAGACGATTCATCAAGTTCTAGTACCAGCACTAGGGTAGTGGCTGGGCAGTTCACAAATCTTGGTTCTGAAACAAACAATGTGTAAACGAATTGATACCGAGGGATTGAATGATGAATATGGAAATATATAATTGTAATGACAATCTAGTTTGAAAATGCAATTATCATACATGTATATTTTTCCTGCCAAAATCTGCAACTGATGTACTTATGTAATTTCATTGATCTATCTAGCTTAGTATTGTGTTTTTTTTAACACTACTTGACACCGGATTCCACAACGACTTGTTTAATTTAAAATTTACACAATTTACTGTGTACTAACCTTCATAACTAATCGGCTTTACAGGGAATATATCGTCTGCAATAAGACAAAAGTATATCAGAAAAGTATATCAATCAATGCCTCTTAGCCATCGGTTGAAGCTCATTGTCCATCCCCAGATACTGTGGACCACGCATATATATGTTGCGACCGTTTAATGCGACTATGAGACTGAAGCAATGTGTACTCAGCGGTAAGATTTATCAGCTCTTAAGATCTTGAAAGACGAATGAAAATACTAGTTTTAAACTCACCAACGCAAACATCGCAACACTCTCCAGTTTCTATCATGTTACAATTTAGAGTAGGACATGGTAGAGATTCACAGCGAGCACCACCATAAGATCGTCTACTATCTGGTATATAACAAGTACATACAGTACAAGCATTAGGTTTGAAGTGTTCTCCAATAGTATACTCTGTTTTGTTCCATACACAGAACTGATCTGCGGGCATCATACATGACGATCCACATCCGGTACTGCAACATTTATGTTGTCCTTGACAACCATCATCATCGTAACATGTATTGGTGCAAACACCAACATTCACCAACATTTGATTGTGTACTCGTGGACAAACTCCTGGTTTTGGTTCATAGTCACCTAGTAGTGGAAATGAGAACAATTGTTAAAAAAATAGTTCTGGGCTTTTATGACATAGAACTCGGGATTGGATTTTTCTGAGACGATTGAATTTAAACGCGTAGTATTGGCGTTATTAAAAACTTATAAAAACACTAAATTCCAGAGAAGGGATTGGTCACTCAATGTTTCAAATATTTATATGAAAGAGGGACAATTTTATGCATAGACGTGTGTATACTCGTAGCTTTTATGGACAATTTTGAGAAATGGCTAGAATAAGCTACTAAACCTTCTATTGTCAAAGATATAATGCGTATCATATAAGTGCCCTGCTTACTTTTTTCGCAATACTTCCCACTGTATTTCGGTGGACAAACACAAAATGGTTTTGCGAATATACCTTCATCAATAACACACCGACCATCATTTTGACAACCACCAGAACAAAAATCTGAAATATTAAACATCCTCGTTAATTCATTCTGGCTTTAGTGGATTTTATTATAATTTTTCATTTCACATAATTGGGAACAACTAATTTGTGTTTTTCTTTGGTGGCCTAGTGAATAAGAACAAAAAGTATAACCTGAAGACTTACGTTTCTCGCATAATTTACCCTTAAATCCTTTCTGACAAACACATCTAGCAGCACCATCAACATAATCACATAACCCCTCATTTAGACAATTCAGGTCACAAAGATCTGCAATGAGTGAATGCACCAAGTGTTACAAGGATTATCGTGATTGAATTTTTTATTCAGGCATCAATTGGTTCTAGATTGATGAAGCTACATATTACAAATAAAACGTACTAAAGTAATTTATAAGGTACTAACTTGTTTCACAATTTTTACCAGTAAAAGAAGCAGGACATACACAAACAGGACCGTCAACCGTTAAGATTTCTTCTCCGCCATTTTTACAGTGCAATTCGGTTGGAAAACTGTCGTCTGAAAAATAAACGCCACAGTACTTTCTAGCATCAAACATCATGAAGCACAATCAGCAATTATAAAGGTTATTCAGTTCTAGTGGAGTAACTATGAATCATTGGCCGAAATGTCTGAGTAGGGGCCACATAATTGTTGAATAGGGGGGGAATTTAATGTAGGCAGCAATGGGGGGAAAAGCTGAGCCAGTCTCTGTTTTGGCCACTGTTCAGACGCCCTGTTTTGCAGTTTTGTATAGTACTTACAAATTGAGCAAGTATTGTTGATCGGTTCCATAACCCATCCTGAACAACATACTTCATAACATTTAAAATATCTACAAGTATAGGTTTCTTCTTTCTCACATTGTTCACTATAGCGTCCGAGATGATAATCGCTCTTCATATTTCTAAAATACAACGAAGGGTCTAGTTACATTTGCGGTTTTACAATCATCTATATTATATTGAAATGTGGTGCAGATGATCTCTGATCTTAACCTTACCCAAAATCCGATAATATTTCAAACTTTCTATGAAGTGCACACTAATGCGAGGCGATATTAAAGTGCACTAACATTTCGATTTCATAATATAATACTTAAAGGTCGACACAGACATGAAATTTAAACAGCTGAGACAACAGCATTTATTACCCCTACCTTACTTTGTTACTTATGTAATGTTTTTAATTATTAACCAACATACATGTACCTATGTGAGTTACCGTCAAACAACCAAATTTTTCTGCGCTTCCCCTGAGTAAAACGACGTCGCTTCTTTTTGTAAAGCGAACCATTGTAGTTATGATTGAATCCCAGATCACGGCGTTCACGAAAGTCTAAACATGGAACTTTGATCTTGCGTGTACAGTTACGGTCATCGGCGGAACAAGAATTACACAAGTTTAGTTTCTTCTGATGGTGGATCTCCCTGAAATTAACACATAGTAAATTATTTGCCTGAAATGCTGTGTAAATAATGAGCTACTTCTGTTAAAATTCAAGAGAGGACGAGTCTTCAGTGTTAAATTTAAGAGGAAACGAGCCTTTGGTCTAAATTTTAAGAGGGAAAGACCCTTCCTCATTATTTTCAAAAGGGAATGTTTGGTATCAATTTTAAGATAGATAGAGCCGTCGGGAAAGATCCTTAGGTATAAAATTTAGGATAGGAAGAACCTTCGAAGATGATATTAAGGGAAAGAGCCATCGGTACCTAAGATTAACCACGATCTACTATAAAAGTAACTAATTTTATAGCTTTAAATTTTGATAATGATTTTAGCCATGATTTTATTTGGATTGCTGCACTGCAATAAATTTAAAATAATGCAAAAAAAAATCATATTGAAACTGAATATAAAGGAAACAAAATCACCTTACCCTTTAGCGACGTATACCAAAGCTAGGAATATTCCAATATTAAAGCCTATCATAATTATACAGGGCATAATGAAAGTTCTATCACAAATAAAGTCATCTTCTGAATAACACAGATTCTATTACTGTTTATTCTGACTCTATCACGTGACTATTCTATTTAATATTTACAGGTAAAGAAAGAGTCAATTCCTGATATTTGTTATTTGTCAATAAAATCATTGTTTATTTATTATTTAAAATTCTTATAAATAGACGAAGACACTTGCTCCTTTCATTCAGAATATCAACTGCTGGTATGCATCATGAGATCTACTAGTAAACTCAGGGACAATTTCTGAATCCCCAACAAAATGATCATTAGATTATAGAATATAAAGAAACTTAATAACCCACCGAGCATTACGTCAACTGCTGGTTTGATTCACGAGAGCTATATCAGTTAACTCAGTAGCAATTTCTGAATCCCCAACAAAGTTACCTGCAGTAGATTATAATATTTAGGAACTTGACTTTTCACGCGAATGATTTCACAATTTTACACTCAGCTTGTCACAATTATTGATCATCCACGGCCAGAAATTTACAACGGCCTTAAAATACCAACGTGAGCATTATATCTAGAAAGATACGTAAAGTTTAGATTTATTCAGGCTTAACATAACTACTCACTACATACACATTCTCGGTCAGTGCTTCCGAGAGTCGGCCGAGTGTCGATTTTCAACCCCTTTCACTAAGTCTGATCCAAGTAATTTATGAATTTATGGTTCCACAAACTTGTAAGATATTGTATCGGTGATTGTACTGTTATAAGTCAATGTTTTCAGATAACAAACGACAGGACATGGTCAATATTTTATCTGGATAAACTTCATTGTCATTGTACATTAAAATTAGTTGTAGGTAACTTTCCTGTGCGGAATGGTGTACGTTATTGCAGTCCTGTCGTAAAGCAAGGTGCAGTGAATGAAAATCAGGTTTTACAGTTCTAAAACACGAATAGCATAGTGTTCACTTTGGTTAGTGTTTACAAAACTGTTTGCATAAATGACATTAAGGTTGAATCTACTCGTAAGACTATAGTTAAGCGAGGTATTGCCTATATGCAGCTTCTGAGATGAAAGAAGCTAAGACATGATCTCAGGAGGCACGAACAAATACAAAACATTCTTGGTCTTCATATATATGTTTTTCTATGTTTTTTTTTATCCTATATTATTTTATATTATTCTATATTATTATTAGTTTATATTATTTTTATATTTTTTTATATTTTTCATTGTTATATATTATATTATATTATATTATTTTATTTTTTCTATGTTTTTTTATAATATCATATATTATTTTTATATTATTTTTATATTATTTATATAATATTTTTATATTATTTATTATTATCATATTATATTATTTTATGTTTTCTATGTTTTTTATAATATCATATATTATTTTATATTATTCTATATTATTTTATATTATTCTATATTATTATTTATAAGTTTATATTATTTTTATATTATTTATTATTATATATTACATTATATTATTTTATATTTTTTAAATCATCACATATCATTATATATTATTATATATTATATATTATTTTATATTTTTATATTTTATTCTATATATTATTTTATATTCGTTTCACATTCATTTCTTAGTAAAATTCTTAACGGTATCCTTGTTTACAATATGGCTGTCGGGGTTAAAAAGAAGGCTGTCGTGACGATCTAGATAAACTAGCTATCATGTTAGACCAAGTATTTACTTCATATACATCGTTAATCTTAGTTGGCATAACTTTGATATTATGGCTGGTATGGACCTATCGGAAACCAGAGGGACTGCCACCCGGTCCAACACCCCTTCCGATTATTGGAAACGTATTCTCAATGTTGAAAAGGGATACGCGTGAAGCGTTCAGTGATCTGCAAAAGCAGTACGGAGATATTTTCACGCTAATAATTGGAAATGGTACTTTAATAGTAGTGAATGGTTTAGACGCAATAAAAGACATGTTGGTAAAAAATGGCGATACGTTTTCTGACAGACCTACCAATTTAGTCTATTCTGATTTAACAATGGGATTAGGTATGTAGGGCCTATATGATTACTATATGTTACATTATATACGTGTATCTTTTTACTTAATGCAATCAAGCATTAAACTATAAATTTGTTGTCTTCCTTTTGGAGATATTTTTATCACCTATGAAAGAGTAAATTTCATTGTTCAATAATAGGCAGTGGTAAAACAGGCCAGTTTGCTTACTCTAATTCCGTCGTGACTAAATAATGTATCTGTAATAATACCTGCTTAAAAATAGTCTGTTTCACGTGATTATTAATCTAATACTTATATCAATACGTTTGTAAATGCATTCTGCTATGAACTTTTAACTCAAGATTTTTCACGCAATTATGTTTAATATTATACTACTGGACCCTTTATTATAACGATGACCTCTCACCCTAAGACAAAAAATATTTTACATTCGAAGCTTTTGGTTATTTGTCACCTACTAACATGATTTCTTGTTGGCGAAAGCTGTACCTTGAACAATCTATTTTATAATAAGTCAAAGATTTGTCGTCATTTATATCTGGTTAATAATAATCTAAATTCATCAATATATATCATATTTCAAGAACATGTTCAAATGATGTAAAGAAGTGTAACTGTCATGCAAAGTACACCAAAGACAAAACATTAACCTTCATATAATTAGTATCTTGTAGCTTTAAATTTGCTGTATATTCTTTGGTTGTCTCCCTTTTACCGATTTTCTAAATCTTCAATTATTAATTTCATAAACCCATTTCACAGTCATTCAAGCAATGCAATATTATATGGAAACAATCTTCATTTATTAGTTTATTATCGCTTTCTTTGCCGATGAAACCGATCGAAAAGACGCTGCCCCAGCTTTGTTCCCCCAACCCGCTTTCAGATTTCTGTTCATTATAGGGAAAGAATTTCCTGTTGGCCTCCCTTAAACATTCTGTGAACCCAACTCTCCCCCCTCACCTTATGGTTCTGAGAAACGTCACAGTACCGCCCTCTTGTTTATATAGTAATCAAATGGTTCCACTTTAGGTATCATTAACACCAGTGGTAATAAATGGAAGGAACAGAGAAGATTTGCTTTATCTACATTACGAGATTTTGGTATGGGAAGAATTGGCATGGAAGAGAGAATATCTAAGGAGTGTCAAGTGTGTATGGATAAAATCAGTAAATATGAAGGGAAACCATTTGATCCAACTCGTTTGTTAATGTGTTGTGTTAGCAATGTTATATGCGCCACAATGTTTGGTAAACGTTACCAGCATGATGACGAAGACTTCGTATTTCATTTAGAAAGTGTCCACGACTCTGCTCAAAAGCTTGGAAATGCCTCCTTTTTCCACTTTTTCCCAATATTTGGGCATTTCCTTCTTAGAGATATAAAAAAGAGAGACAAAAGAGTTAGGTATGGTATATGTTTAAAAGAAGTTCAAGATCATCAGAATACAGATTCGAAACATGGTGATATCAGTGATTTTATCGATGCTTATTTAAAGGAAACGAAAGATAGGGAGGGTAGTGGAGAAAGTTCTTCATTCAATGGTAAGTGTTCCATTATTATTCAAATGGGAAATGTCTGCATGTATTGTTAACGCCTAGTCGGTTGTTAGTGGGTTGAAAGCACCAAGAAGCCCCATGTAAAGTATGGTATCACAATCATCCGTCCGTCCACAATGGCTTGTGAACACAATAGAAGCTACAGTTATTATCTGATTTTAATGACATTTGGTGTGATCATTTATATTGATGAGATCTTGGTGAAGTTCAAATTTTATGATATTTCAAAGTAAAACGCGTCAAAATTTGTTTGTGAACACAATGGAGACTGCAGTTTTCATTTTTAAATGAAATTTAGTGTGATCATTTATAATGATGAGATCTTGGTCAAGTTCAGATTTTTCGAAGAATCGTTTGTGAGTTATTGCCCTTGACTTAGTAAAAACGCATCAAAATATGTTTGTAAGCACTACAGAGACTAGTTTTCATCTGATTTTAATGAAGTCTATTACAATGAGATCTTGGTGTTTGAATTTTTGGAATTATTGACCTTTTTGTTGGCAGTTTATGTCCAAATTTTTTGAATTTTTTAAATTCAACAATATCTTGTACAAATTAGATTTTTGGTACGATTTGACACAGACTGGCGATCGCCTTTGATACACTGAAAATTTATCAGGGAAGTGGGCGTATCTTGCAAGGCAACCACTTGTCAGTAATATGATCAAAAAAAATAATATTTTAACATGTCATACAAGGATGTGATTAACTGAAATTGGTACGTTTCGACAAACAAGGCCATAATTTAGCATTTCGTGACAATTTTTTTCATGGTTGCAGTTGATAAGTTACAAGATATTTTTAATATGTTTCTATTTCAGAACAAAATCTATTACAAATCTTGGGAGAATTTTTCTTTGCGGGAACTGAGACCCTTACAACAACCTTCAGATGGGCGCTGATATATCTCTCTTTGTATCCAGAACATCAAAGGGCGGCTCAAGAAGAACTAGATAGAGTTGTCGGACGTAACCGGAAGCCATGTATGAACGATAAAAAATCGCTTCCGGTTGTTGAAGCAACAATATTAGAAATTCAAAGACTTGGTGATGTGGTTCCATTCTCAGTGCCACATGCTGTTGCCAAGGAAACGGTGTATAAGGGTTACCGAATTCCTGCCAAGGCTATTATTTTGCCAAATATATCATCAATATTGAATAGTAAAGAGTTATGGGGAGATCCCGAGGTGTTCAGACCTTCACGATTTCTTGACAAGGACAGCAAGAGTCTCACCAAAGAAGCAAATATACCATTTTCATTAGGTTCGATTATAATTCTTAATTGTCATTGGGATCCAATTGATCAGCGAATGTATTTGAAAAATGAAAAAAACTTGTACCAAAGCGTACTTCAGACTGTACCAAATGTACAATGCGTAAAGATGCCTGAAACAACCAGCATTTAAGTTTGCATCCAATTATGTTTACAAACACGTCGAGTGCCACAATATAATTGGTATCGGTCAATAGGTCGCAAGAAAAATTGGCCACCAGCCAACGTGGAACGGACAACTTTGCCAGATTATAAAGGGCGGCAATACGTAACCGTAGATCCTTTAGTCTCGTTGTTTGTTCATGTTATTGTGATTTTGTTTTTCAGGAAAACGGTTATGTCTTGGAGAATCACTTGCCAGAATGGAATTGTTTATATTTTTATCAACCTTTTTACAGAATTTCACGTTCAGTTTACCGGAATCACAACCAAAACCGTGTTTAAAAGGGGTGATTGGAATTACCAGAATGCCTCATGCCTATAATATCATTGCAACGAAACGATAACCTTTCAGCATAATATTACTGTTGCAACCATTGCGTGTCTTTATCAAATTTCCTTTGTAGGTGTGCATATGTCCTGTTTAGATTTAGAAGACCAAGAAGCGTAAAAGTTTAAATTGTTTCTCTGTTCTGATTATTGAAAACAAAGACCAACTCTTTGTGCTACTCCCGACGTTATTGTTCCTTTTCCTTAACAATATTAATTTGGACATGTGTTAAGATGTTATGTCCATTATTATGACTAAAAATGTTGTCTCGTTTTGTTTGTTGTTGAATGCCACGTTCTATACCATTAACGAATCATAAATCTAATTGATAAAAACATATTTACTAAGAAATTTTACATTTGACCGGATTCGGAATAGCAAGAATTCCCGACTAATGCTTTATTTGTGACTTCGTATCTGGAGTTCAGGGTCATACACTCGGGGTCATACAAATGTAACCAATGAAAAATAGGAGGCTTTGAAAGTGGTGATTCTTCTGTAAATAATTCCATCTTATTTCACACCTCAACGCTTACCTTATAAGGAGTGATAATTCAGTAATAAGAATAATAGCACCTGATATGAATGCTAATGACTATATAAGGAACTAATGAAGTGTCTATCAAATTTCTTAATCAAATACTTCAATGTACTTCATAAATGGCCCTTATTAACCGATTTTAGTCTTTATTGAAGTAAAAACTGTGACTGAGGTTAAATGTTACATATAATATTCATAGTAGTTCTTAGGTTATTTGATTTTGCCATCTGAAGCCTCAACTATTTGTTTAATCTCATTCGTTGTTCTTGAATTTCTACTATGTTGATATGCCATGTTTCTATCCAATATATTTGTCAGCTAACTCTTAGATTTCGGCGAAAAAGGGGGTTACAAATATTTCATTAAGAAATTGGAATATGTGGTCTGGATCGGCTGGGAAGCTTTCTTTTGTTCTGATTATTAGATAAAATAATAACTCGCCCAATGGGCTAGAGGTTAGTATGTTATATATTGATGGTCTTTTATTTGCTATGGACAAGATTAAAGTTCTGGTTTTTCGAATAATGCGACTATCATCCTTTGTTTGAACATCATAATGGGCATATAATGGGTATTATTACTGGTAGAACGGGACAACAAAAGGTGTTATGCCTGTTTGATGGTGGATATTCAGTTCTATTAGTCTTGCTATATTCAGTGTCTGTATCTTAGAGGCACAATACTGCTCATCAACAAAATCACAGGGACAGTTAACATTCGCAAAAGAATAAAGCATTCTATATTTGAACAAACGCAATTACCCCGAAAGGTAGCTGTTACTCTTACAATATTTCAATTGATAAACCAGACGAGCCCGTGGCGACATTGACTATACAATGGTTGTAGTGCTTTTAACGTTGTAATCCGCCCACAACGGGATTATATGCCATAGCGTATATCGACACTTTTCTCCTGAAGCCATTTAGTATCATCTTTTCTTATCTCCATAAATTGAACAGTCGTAGCCAGAAAGACAGCTATTTTAACCTAGAGAAGCAGTATGAAAATATGCCCACACTCTCATGCCTGTTATGATAATTATCTCTGTGTGTTTCTGATATTTGCAAGAAGCGTCATTGTCCAGAAAGAACTCTTCCATTGACATATTTTCTATTTATTGAATACTTTGCGTATGCAACATAACTATGAGTTTGCTAAATATCTGTCGAGTATTATTTGCAGACCAGTCTGTTTCAATGCATTATTACTTAAGAATGTTCCTTTTGCTGATTGCCGCAACGGCTTACTAATTGTTATAACACTGTTTTATAATGAACATTCCTATTGGACCCCTAAAACCTTTACACAAAAATTGCTCTTTACATCGTAAAATACGACCATCAATCTATAAAAAAATTATGAGAAATGGCCAATAAAGTTAGCGAATCAATGTTACTGTGTAAAATACCATGCAAAATCATTCCTTAGGGCGTTTAAACGAGGAGTCGTAAAACTTCAGTATCTCAATACTTGGCTATTATAAAATAATTATAAATTCTACAAAATGATCTACAACCGTGAAACACGAATTCTGATTGGTCACTATTTGATTTTCTATTATATCTGAAATCTGACTCTACGGGACTGGTGACGTGATCAAGTATTATGAAAATATTACCTCGATATCCCTTGGTATATCTTAAAAACCATACATAACATCTTTAACTTGTTGCCTGTCACCTGTTCGCTATTTTCCAAATTCCCTACAGATCGTCTGTAACATTTTCTATTCATTACCCAATCTTTAATACAAGATATTGTCTGAAGGGGATGATATATCTCTTCTGATAGAGGAAGTATTGTGTTTAGAGGTTTTTAACCACTAAGGTATCAGTACTGAAAAATTTGGTCTTCAGAAGTCATAGAAATAGTCCTTAAACCAGTTAACTGAACTGATATTGTTCAAAATGAATAAAAGAATTATTTTGGATGGGTGATTTTAGCATATTTATTAAAGTTTCAGTATGGTTGTCATATCGTCATCAAGAATCTATTCGGCGATCACCAAATGTCACTTTTCAACCAGACGCATTTGTAAGTTTAGATGAATCCATAAATTACTGCCAGATCTTACTCTTTTGAGAAATTTCATTTTGGTCATCTTACCAACACCGAGTCTGTGAATGCAAAATTAAACCGAATACAAATATTTGATTTCTCAAAGTTTTACCGCGGAAATGTGCACTTTGCAAAATCATTATGAAGTCCGTTGTATCTTTTATGAAATTGATGCCTATTGGATACGCAGGGGAATTTACATCAAAAGCTGATAAAAGGTGAATTTCAATTTCAATAAGCGATATGACTAGTTTAGATGTATTCGTTTGTATCGGTGATCACAGAAACAGCTAATATTTAAATTGCATATATCTAATTATACTCAGTCTATAGATCATCTAGAACATGTCTAGAAATATCTAATCTGAAGCCTGGTGTGTTAAATTGTCATACTAAAATTATTTTAATATTTCACGCTCAGCACTTTATTAGAAGTCAGACAATTTAATGCGATTTGCGGCGAAGGAAATTTTGTGCAGTGGCACGTTTGCAATTCCACAGTCGTGCGTAGATAACTATAAAGTGAATATTAGGAATAGTTTCCAGGCGCATCTGTACTCATCTGCAGAGAGAAAGCACTTTGAAAGTTATCACAAGAGACAGCATAAACTATACTCAAATTCTTAGCAAACCAGAGAACCTGATTTACTTAATTCATATTTCAGCAGTCGCAATATGAACGAACAAGGCAGTAATCTTCACGAACTGTTACAAATTTATACTGAAAGACAAAAGAACGTAAAGTAGGGATTTTATGGATCGTTCAATGAATAAATTGACCACAGAACAGGTAACTGCCATGTGTTTGATCGTTATTTTTAGACCTTTCTTTTGCCTTTCAGTATTATTCTTTTTTGCATATATAAGAGAAAATTGTCAAGAATGCGAGCGGAAATATAAATGTTTACTTGATTCTTTTTCTTACCTTTTTCTAAACAATATTACAATGTATATATAATCTTTATGCATTCACTAATATGTGTGTCTCTCACAATAAGTTTGATCATTTACTAAAAGATATAGGTATCTGAACAATGAGTTCAAATGAAAGGAAATTATAATCTAATACGTAACCACTTGAGATAGCCGTCTAATTAGGTCTGCTAGCCTGTATTTAGAAATGAAGTAATATGGTTAGAACTAAGTCATAACTATAATTATCTTGGCTTTTTCCCACTGAAATCTTAACCTTTTTAAAACGTTTGCAGACTTTGATAAACCTGCTTGGCTTGTTCCCAATGAATTCTTAAACCTACTTTTTTACGAAATGTCTTACGAAAATTCTGGTGTTCTGTCCCAAGCTGCGTTTGGACGGATCACAAGCTGAGCAAGTAACGTGTAAAAGAAGGTTATGGAACTGCCCTACTGAACATTGTAGAAGTCAAGGTTTAACACGTATAACTTATGTAATGAAAAAGTATTAATAAGAGGTAAATTCTCTACAGCTTTACAGCTAAGTTTATAGTATAAGTTGTATCGGAACTAGTTGGTTAAAGATACAAGCTAAATCTCATTTCAACTTAATTATATTTCCTAATAGACTCGACTATTTAATTACAGACAAAAACCTTCCTAATCATTTAACGACATCCTTGGTTCCAACTTCTTCCATCTGTAATTAGTTCAAAATCAATTATATTTAACAGTGACGGGCGCCTAATATCGCTTCACAGTGACGACCAAAGTTGTATAATATTATCACGTTAACAACAGCCCATTAACCTATTTAGAAACTAACAAGTCATTCATTAGACCAACATTCTACTTCCTAGTGTACAGTTCCAAATTCTTCATAGTTAATAAATAACAGTAGGTGGCCATGTACAACTTTATCTCGACTAACTACGAATTATCACGAACGTCTTCCTGTCAACTGTTCACAAGGTACTAATTATCTGCTTTTACCAAGTCCATCTGACTTGACTGTCACTTCTCTTTTGATTTATGAAGGGCTGAAACCCCGAAACGGCTGTAAATGTATACCGATAATCCGTAAAAGATTTTGCCAAGGACAACCTGGTAGAACGGATCTTTAGGGAAACTAAGCTTTTATACTTGTAGATATAGTTTTTTCTTTCTTTTTGATGTTTATCGAGTTGTGCAATCATTCAACACTCTCCACGCCCAGTGGTACTGTCCTCAAAGTCATTCGTCTACCTGTCAGCTGAAAGCTTTCAAAAACCTGGATTCCATTATACTTTGGCACCTTAAGGCTCACCCATCCGGAACAACTGATGTCAGTGTGCAGCTTGATATATTGGCAACCTTTTCGAAGACTCCACATTGAAACCCACTATAGTAAGTGTTTGGCAGCTGTCGTTATCAGGGTATGGGTTCTCAACCTATCCGGAACACCTGATGCCAATGTGCAGCATTAATCTGTCAAATTGACATTCCTTTACAAGAGTGCACATTCTTAATAGTTTACTAGTAGTATATTTATTGAATCATTTGTTTATTTTAATCTTAATATTCCTTTCAATACGTTTATTGACACGCCAAGAAATGTATTTGTCAGTTTACGCCGTCGCCAAGTGTCTTTTTAACCAGACGCATTTTGAAAGAGTACTCGATCATTTTTAAGGTGACATTTCCGAGGAAGGCAGAAACTAGCGCCAGATCTTCCCTCGAAGGAATGGTGTAGACCATAATAATCATATTAAGTTGCAAATGTTTCTGTAATACATAAGAGGTCAGTTTCACAATTCTTAAACAGATCAATCATTGTCATAATTTGTTTTCATTTTACTCTTTCATAATTATGAAAGTCTTGTGGTAGTTTAAAAGTGTAATGCCACACTATTTAACCTCTTATAAAACAATCATTTCTATACATTAGGTAATGAGAAACGATAACGACTAAATCAGTAGTTTAATAAGAGTCAATCAAATATTATCTTACATCATTGATAGACAGTAACAAATTACCAAAAGTATCAGTTTTATGTAAATACAGCTTTCAACTATACAGTATATTTCTATATCGGGATTATGTTTGCCATTACGGGTCTTTTTATTGGTCTTTTAGTATAGTTTTATTCAGACACTAGTCTGAATGTTGTTGACATAAATAAAATGGTTTAACATTGACTTGGTTAAAGCTACGTTTTATGCAATAATCCTAGTAATCAGCTCTTAAAACCAATTTCAAAAGATGTAAATGACATTTTCTTCAGGTACAACATTTACCAATGAAATTATAAGATAAATGCACAAGAAGCCCGATCTTTCTTAATCCCAAAGAGCTAATCTCTGCCTTCTTATTTTGCCTTGTGCTTTTTGTATAACTTGTTCCTAATTTCATCTTAAGTAAAACTTGAATTAAGCATCAACTACTTAGATGAATTCTCAGTTGCATGACAAGAAAATTTAAAGCTTGTTAAAAAACATCCAGTGATATTAAAAGCTAAGCATTGTGCTGGTTTAAAGTAATTAACTGAATCTTGGTAATGTTTCAGCTGGTAA